TAAATATTGATGTGTAAAATGTACTTAGAGTTTCGATTGATATTTAAGTATAAGGTTATCTGTTCTGGCCTTTGGTGGTTTTTATCTTTACTCAGAGTTTCGATTCATATTTAAGTATAAGGTTATCTGTTCGGGCCTTTGGTGGTTTTTATCTTTACTTAGAGTTTCGATTCATATTTAAGTATAAGGTTATCTGTTCGGGCCTTTGGTGGTTTTTATCTTTACTTAGAGTTTCGATTCGTATTTAAGTATAAGGTTATCTGTTCTGGCCTTTGGTGGTTTTTATCTGTACTTAGAGTTTCGATTGATATTTAGAGCAACTTTCTTTATAAAACAATTTATAATTTTATTGAAAAATAAATAAATGTTTATTGTATCCAAGTGACGAACCAGCCAATGAACCTGTGTAGTTTCGCTCCATTATTATCATTGATAGTTTGTTACAGACGATGAGTTGGGTCATCTCGTCTTATCGATTTTTTTATATTATCACTGAGACAAAAAAAAACGTTTTTATCAAACGTATAATGAATCCTGCATCTTACATCTTTCTAATCAGACTCAAAGGTCAAACTATATCGTACTAAAAACAAAATAACTACTCGTACTTTTTCAACATCGTGTGTTTAGTATTAACGTGAATAACAGGACATGTTAGAAGGGAAGTATTATGACTAGCTTATCTTTATATTTCCGTTTCTTTACTTCTTTCTTCCTCGTTTGTTAAGCACGTGCATCATCAAACAGGAAGTAATATTACGTAGTTCTGATAAACGTTACCTTGTTTTAAACAACGTTTGTTACAATTATCACAACAAGTTTGAATGAAACAACAGTCTGTTCTTCAGAAGATCCCATTTCTGTCCAACAATGTTTCTCGTCTGGTTTATCGTTCTTCCGTTTGTTTGTTTATCTAGTGTCAAGGTGAAAGTTTCTGAAAACCAGTGCCCTCAGCTAAAGAACTGTACTTGTCGATACCAAGGTCAGTTTTTAAATGTTAACTGTTTTAACATATCCGACACGTCACAGTTGACTAGTGTGCTACACGAAGACCTGAAAAACCAAACTTTAAACCATGTTTATATCAGTAAGTCTAATATATCCCACATTCCCACATCTCTTTTCGCCAACCTGACAATTCAGAAGATTCTTTTAAATCACGTGGATGTGAAGACCATTGATCCAGATGCCTTTGAAACCGTTCAAGGACTTTTTCAACTCAAACTACATTATGGTATAACAGAATCCATACCCAGAGCAATTTCTAACGTAGGAATAAAACTTCGGTGTCTGTGGATGGAACATGGAGAAATCAAGGAGATCAAATTTGAGTTTCAAAACTTCACGATCTTGGAACTCTTAGATTTAAAAGCAAACAAAATTGTATCTATCCACAAAGATGCGTTTGTTTCCCTTAAAAATTTACATAAACTCGATCTTTCCCGAAACGCAATCAAAGTTCTGGAACCAGGAACTTTTCGAGAAATGCATCAACTAAAAGAGTTGTTTCTGGGAAACAGTTCATTGATGTATGCTGACGGATTGTTGGATAACATGGTCAACATTGAAGTAAGTTGAAAGTAATTATTATATAGATTAATTGTATATGAAATCAGAAACCTTCAGGATATCTTCAACCTTGTTTGTGGGAATTAAATATACAGTAATATCTAAATCGGAGACTTAACGCTTTAGGAAGTTGTTATTAGAGTTAAGCCTTTTAACCTAAGGTATCAGACTGATACATATTCTATACCTCTAGGTAGATAAAAACCACCAAAGGCCAGAACAGATAACCTTATACTTGAGAACGTTATACTTTAGAGTTTTATCAACTAGTTACGTAGGTCGACTATTTTGTTAAATGAAACATCAAAGAGTCATCGATTATCCTTACCCCTGAGAGTTGTTATGATTAACCAACTATATCAGTCAGATTGTAAGTAGGCTTAGATATAATTATCATTCACGAGCACTTGTAAATACGAGATATTACTGGTTAGTTGGCAAGTCACGTGACAATAATTCTTTTTCTAATCCAACCGGATTTAATGCGTCCCAAAAACTAACTATATCACACAGATTGTAAGTAGGCTTAGCTATAATTATCATTCACGAGCACTTGTAAATACGAGATATTACTGGTTAGTTGGCAAGTCACGTGACAATAATCCTATTTCTAATCCAGCCGGATTTAACGTATCCCAAAAAACTATTAACTTCCTAGAAAGCAACACATCGTATGAGATATCCGGGTTTTCATTCTCTTTTAAACTATTGTTTCACCCTTATAGTTAGACAAATGACTCTTTATTTATTTGTTATGGCCCGACTCGCAATCTGAGGGTCGCGGGTTCGAATCCCCGTCCCTCCAAACACGCTCGCCCTTTCAGCCGTGGGGGCGTTATAATGTGACGGTCAATCCCACTATTCGTTGGTAAAAGAGTAGCCCAAGAGTTGGCGGTTGGTGGTGATGACTAGCTGCCTTCCCTTTAGTCTTACACTGCTAAATTAGGGACAGTTCGTGCAGATAGCCCTCGTGTAGCTTTGCGCGAAGTTCAAAACAAACAAACAGACTTTAAAACTGGGAATTTAAACCTGTAGTACTCGTTATAAATACATTTTAGAAACACAGTGTTTTAATTATTTTTTTTCTGTTTTATCAAAAATTTCCTGCAAGTATAACGCAGAATTCTGCGTAAACGCGTTATCTGAAATTTAGGATAAACGTACTTTTTATTTATAAGAAATAACTTATATTTTGTATGAATGATAATAATATTCTGTATATCAATAAATATTTCACAGAAACTATTTTTAGTATAATATTTCTATCATAACCTTTTCATTTTTATTATCATACAATATTTTATTTTTTATGATATTAGTGACTTTAGGTGTATAAGTATCCCCCCCCCCAACTAAAATCGTCACACCTGAATGCTTGATATTATTTTTTCAAATATTAGGCTTTAATGAACGTAAATCTTAGTATTTTTGTCCAATCCTTCACATGCTGTTTCTACTCGCATTTGATCCGATACGGTATAAATGCCTTCATTAAATCCCAAAATACCTTCAGTGTTTTTTATCATTATCTAAGGGCTTAGAAGTATCTTGTGTGAAGTTTATTAGTGTCTTTCAGTGTTTCACTATTCTCTAAATCCATACTGATTTAAGAGGAAAATATTTGTTTATTTAAAGATTTTGTCAACCTGTTTTTCACTATTTTTTCTAATGTTTTAGAAAATACTGATATGAAATACGTGTACAATTTACATGATTATTCTTATTACCATTTTCGTTCAATTTTAATTTTAAAGGACCAACTCGACTGTAAATATCTTCGTCATGGTCAGATAAGTTTCACTTCAGTATGTAGTAATATACCATTATCAATTGTTTTCCCGGCGTTTCTCTGACTATTCTCAGACTTTTAAGATTTTAACAGTGCAGTTATTACCATTTATGGAGCTTTCTAATAAAACAAATGGCCCGGCATGGCCAGGTGGTTAGGGAACTCGACTCCAAATCTGCGTTTTAATGTTTAATCGTGTTTAAACATTTTTTTATTATTCCCTTATTAAAAAAACACAACAATAAAATTTACAGTAACAGTTATTACAAACAAAGATTTATAAACAAAAGTTTCACAAACTTACAAGCAATATAAAGTATTCTTTCTAGTCTGGAAATGAGCTAGTTAATTACAAGTTGACGTAGGTATAATTCACTTAAGAGGGAGCTAGCTGGCTTTGTTTTTTGTTATTCACCAGCCACACACGTTGAGTTTTCTACTGTGAAGTTATGTAATGTTTTCGTAAAAATACTAATGTCCGATGAGAATCCACTGAGAGTAATTGAGTTTTAATGTTCAAACCTGCCCAAATACTGAAGTTTTCCAATTGATAAACGATATAACAATTACAGTTATAACTTCCAAATATAATGGCACATTGACTGTAGCAAACTAATAGTAGATACTACTTTTGGCGAGTCGCGTTGGTTATATTTACAGTTTCTCGAAATTTCAGTTTTACATAACGATACTGACGCTAACACAAGCTAACACAGAGACTTCATCTTTACACCACCTAGCTGAGAATGTCTTTGTTTTACAAAAATACTGTACAATTGAAAATTTGGAAAATAAATATATTTTTAACTATTATAAACTTGATTTGTTTCTTTAATTATATGACATTAGAATAGTGGTATATTAAAACGTATTTGTGTTAAAAAAAACTGCGTATATCAATTTTTTTGGTAAATATCATAAACTGACTATATATCAGCTTTTACTTAACTGATAAATCCAAAGTACAATTTAACTACTAAATTGAAAGTATCATTTAACTCAATGTTAGACCTTTCGAAATTGTACTATGTAACGTAATACTACATATATACATACATGCACACATCATACTGAACTGGTGGTAGTATTGAGGCAAGTGGGCGGAAGTGAAGGTGAAGGCGTAGCAGAGGCAGGTTGTTCTTGCACATGAAATAAGCCGAAAACGATTGTTGACAATGTATTGAAACAAACCGAAGCAAACTGGCCTTTATAGGGCCTGGCGGGAATCAATGGACCCAAATGCCATAGCTGGGATCTATAGATCGAATGCCTAAGAACTTAGTGTGGGGGAAAACGGGAACGCCCCGAGAAAACCCACTTTCACTAGCCGGGACCGATACAAAGCCCGGCTTGTGCCCGAGTGAACAGCGGGTGAAAAAATGAAGATCCGAAAATAGACTGAAAAATGAAATAGTTATGCATAAAGTATAATAATCTTACTTTTACAGATCGTGGTGGTGTGTTAGTGATGTTGTATGGGGATAGATATT